GCCTTGCCCTGCTAAAACTAGAACCACACTGGTCAGCTAGAAAGTCAGAGGATCACCAAAGTCTGCAGGTTTAATCCTCTGGGGACAATGAATGTGTGTCCAAAATGTGACGGCAATCTATCTAATAGTTGTTGTGTACTTCAGTTTGGACCAGGGTGGTGGCCTGACTGACCAACACTGCCATCCAAAAAGCCATGCTCTACCATGGCTAATACATTTTTAAGCTTATCCAGGTTTGCCTGACTATTCTGGAAATCAGGAGACTTCATTTGAACTGAAGGAGCTCCATCAGAAACCAGTAAAAGCTGAGAATTGGATTCTGAGCCTCGTACCATGTGACAAGATTAAAGCTGGGATTAAAATCCTTGTAGATGTCTGAATCTGAATTTACTGACACTTATAGCCCAATTACATGCAATCCTGCCTCTTTTATTCCTCTTAAGTGACCCTGCATTATACTGTGTCCTCACACGCCTACAGAAACACACAATACACACGTGTGTGAGTGAAAGTAGCTGTGCTGACTCATACACAGTGAGTGCACATAGTTCATTTAACTTGTAATTTCTAGACACTTTACCTCAAATCACCATAAAATAACACGTCTGCATTCACCGCAAGTTAGTCCCACTGGGAGCTGAACTGCTGTCAGATTTAGCGGCATTCTCTGCTGAGCTGGAATGATCACAGTATGTTATTTGTCACAAGTGTGCAGCGGCAGGTAAACCAAGAAATAAATGAATGTAAATGTTCAGACTGGAGTTTCAGTAAGAATGAAAAATATGCATACCTCTCTACATCACAAAGCACTGAAATGTGACAGTTACCCATCACATCGCATATCCAGAGCGAGCTCAAAGACCCATCACAAAGTAAGAGTACAGGGGAAGTCTGGCAGTCTGCTTGTCAGGTTACATTAACAGTAGTTTATTAGCAACAGCTAGGATTTGGAAACCTCGAACCCACTGTTTTCCAAACTATGGTACGTGCACCTCTGGTGGTACACAGGGGAATCCCTGAAATAATTTTTTTTTTATGAAATAAATTAATTTAAAAACATATACTGGTAATAATAATAATACTATCAGAATTATACAAAAATTCTGAATGAAAATATTTAAACTATGGGACTGCTAAAATGTAATTTAAAGTAACATTTGCATCATATTTTGTTTCAATATCAGCATATCACGTAGTCACATTAATAATCTTATTGTCAAAGGTCTATTGGGAAGAGAAGTTGAGCTCTGGTTATTTAAAAGGTTCTGCTTAGGATCCAACAACAGTCAACGATAAATCATCTTCTTATAAAGAATAAAGCTGCCTCCTGTGTGAACTTTCTGCAGCTGAATAGGTTCAGCATACACTGCTGTATTTTAACGTCGGCCATAATGGTGGTACTTGGACAGCCTGATATTTTCTCAGGTGGTGTAAAAAGTTTGTCCTAACCTCTTTATCAGCACTTCAGAAAATGTGCAACCCTTATAACAACAATCATTTATTATTCAATAATAAAATCACAGATTGAGTGAGATTAATCCAATTCATGTCAATGCCTAAACGGATGAAAAAAACATCCCCCTTTGCCAAAACAACTGTCAGGGAACCATGCAAATAGTCTGAAACACCAGTATCAGAAGAAAAAAAAAAAGTGCCACGCAAGAGCTGCACTGAATGCAGGCACACTCCTCTTTGGCCTTTTGTGACTATATGAAATCCTAATGTTTCCACAACAAAACCTTGCATGACTCAAATTCTCCTTTGGCAAGGATTTTTATTATGGAAATGAAAGAAAATCCTGCCTCAGTCCAGTACACTGCACACAGAATGTGTGAGGCTTGATGCAGAGTGCAGAACTACTAGTGGCTTTTTAACACCAACATACTCCTGAACTTCTCCAGGTGAACCTAGGCAACACAACATATTAACAATAACTGTACAGCTGTAACAGATGCATCCTGAACTGAGTGAATATGTGGGGAACGTACAAAACTCCATCCATCAGTCATGATGAACATAAAAAATGTATTTGAGGAAACTCTCTCTGAATGCTTAACTGAGCAGCAATGTTTGCATTCATCAAAAATACTTAAGTATTTATATCATGTCTGAATCATCTGGGCAACATAAACAGAATACATTTATGACCGATTCATTAAACAAGCAAACATGTTTGGTTGAGACAAGATTACACATAAAATATACTGATTGACACAGGGAACAAATACAGATTAATTAATCCCCTAACAAAACAAAGAAGACGGGAGTTTTCGCTCGGGGTTCCGTTCACTCGAGCGAAGAGGCAGGGGCTGTGCTGCTGAATACTAAAACCACAGAGCAGCAAACACCCAAGCAAAACAAAAAGACAGGGATACTTGAAAGCAGTATGAAAACCACACAGGGTGAGACAGTCATGCTGCTCTGTGCCAGTATGACCAGCCAGCACACACAGCTGGGATAACAAAAGGAGAAGCAATCTACTGACGAGACAGTTGATATTAGCTCACATTAGCTTTCTTTATGCACAGTGAATAGATTGATTCTGTGGTGTAACCCAAGTTACCTCAACAAATAATCTGCAGGTGAAGCAGATCTAAGCTTTATAGAAAACTCTCTCGCTCTGCCCTCCCGACAGCAGCGTGTGAATAAATTTAGCTGACTGCTGACCCCTACTGGAGTCTTAACATAATGACAGAGTGAGAAAGGTAGCAAATGGCATAATTCAGCTGCATGCATCTGGTGAAAGAAAAATCATCTCAAAAGATGGAACAATTCTATCTTTACAACCCTTGTGCAAAAAGAGCACCAACAGCACTGTGAATCCTAAAATCAATTGTGTCCCATTTAAGGAACACTCAGACAGCTGGTGGACTTAAAATGGTCAAAATCAAAGCTGCAGAGGCATAGATATCTTAGCTTTTAGTCCCTAGTATGGGTCAAGCACCAAAAACACTAGACCCTACATTTCCCATATTGCAACTCAGCAGTGCATTTCATCAGACCCTTCTAAATAAATGCCCTCTTCTTTCAAACCCCACACTTGCTGGTTGTAATGCAGACTTTCAGTTGAACATGTAAGTCTGACGCCCACGCTGAGATAACGCTGATGACATCATCAGGGCTATTTTTTCCTTCCAGACCCACAGAAGACATTATACAACAGGGTTCACAGGCTGTACAATAGTCAAGGCTGTACAATAGTCAAGCATCCCTTTAATTGCTCTAATCCTCACTGATTCGAATTGTAGGGTTCACATTTAACTCTTGGGTCTTTTTTTTAAAAGTATGCCACTATCAGTTACTATACATAGCTTTATAATCTGACAAACTACAATACAACAGCCTAGACATAGTCTGTTTTGAAGAATCTACAAACTACACAAACATTTTAGCAATGAAAATCCTACCAGTTTTGGAATTTTTAAGAGATTCCAAGTTCCTCAAATAAAAAGATAAAGAGATACAAAACAAATATATGGGAAAGAAATTGAAAAACTCTATAATGAAAAAAGGCTCTATGAGGAAATTGCACCGAAGAGCTGCTGGCAAAGTGGGGAGTGAATAAAATAAAGTCAGAAAGTTCCCTGGACTGAGCTCCACAACTAGATGGCCACTGGTAGTTAAAGCAGAGAGGTACTTTGATGTCAGAGTGCAATTTTAAAGATTATATATAACAACTACTGGCTAGGTAATGATATAAAGGAGATATAGTGACCTAAGCTGAGAATGATGTCACACTCCCTTAGCCTGTGTTGCTATCGCAGCCTCTCTGTGCTTTATTTACATAGCCACTGGCCACACGTTAGTGCATGTGAGTCCCTCTGTGTGACTGAAAATGCAGTTTCTCTCATTTGTGACGGTAAATTTAGGATTTTTATTTCGACCAATCCAGAGTTTGTGATTGTTGGAACCATGGAAAGACTGACTGTATTTGTTAGTTTTATTTTGTTTCTGTCCGCTTTGAATGACATTACAATGATATGCAAGATAAAAATACTGTTTTTGTCTATGGAGTCTGGTGGAGAGTGATAGTGATATTAAGTCTGTTTCTGGTTAAACACAAAGTCTATCTCTGTAGGGATCCTTTCCATAATGCTGTCAGACAGTGAGTATAACAATCTGAGTCTGTCAGTGGCAAAAACAGTTAGTGGATGTACTTTGACGGATGGATTTGTCCCCAATGATCAGACAATATTTTCACATCTAACTCTGTTAATTAAGGCTTTATTTCAACCAAACAAACATTTGTGATTGTTGGAAAGAAAGTGGAAAGACAACAAAAACAATTTTGGTGAGTTTTATTTTGTTTCCTGCCTGTTTGAAGTGTGCTTTACGATTATCAGCAAGGTGAAATTGCTGGTTTTGTCTATGGAGTCGGGTGGGTTATAGTGCCTGTTGTTTTGGTCTGAGATGCTGGTGCTCTACTGCAACATCTAGCAGCAGTGAAATTTGTATATAACCTTCAACAATATTAATGAGCTCAATCTCAAAAAAGGCTAGAGCAGCTACCTATTTATCCTTTTTTTCAGCAGGTAGACAAGTAGCAATTAGATCTGCAAGTAACTTCAACCAATTCTACACAACAAACCTCAGTCAGCTGAGCTGTGTGAAGCTGGAGTGATTGAGGTCATGCTGAACTGGGTATTCAAGAAGATATCAAACAAATGCAAATCATCGAGCATTTTCATGATATCAACAGCGAAAGAGATGAATTCAGCTTGACGTCAATCGGAAAAAGGCATGTGAGTCATACTTCTGTTTTTATGAACATCATCTTTCCATTTCTTACCCAACACTGCAGGGGAATAGCTACAAAGAACATCAGTCTGTGAAGTTCAAAGCTTTGTGGACACCATGATTGGCATCCATGGTGCTGTAATTTTATACAACACACTGCTCTTGGGGCCATCAGCCGAGCCCCAGGTTGAATTCCTTATCATATTGGACATATGTGATTAGTCATTAATGTGGTGCAGTCTTTAAGGAGAGAAGTTCTTTACCTGAATTGTGCCAAAGTCCACATTTTCGTAGTGGAAGTGAGCGCACTCTGCCAGTTTGGGGAAGTGGCCCTTGGTGAAGCTAAGTCTGGAAACATAACACACACACACACACACACACACACACACACACAGTTGGTTGGCACTTCATCCTCTGCTCATGATAACACCTTGGAGTGTTTGTGTGTGACTGGTATAAGAGGGAGAGTGCAGTGCAAACAGAGGGAGTGAAAGGAGGAGGAAGACACAGAAATAGACTCGGGGAACGGAAGGAACTTAAGCAAGAAACAGAGGCGATAAACAGCCAGTTAAGAGCGATAAATAGAGATGAACAGAGAGAAGAAGAGATGTGTGAGAGGTGGAGGAGACAGGCAGAGGCAGGTGTGTGTGTAAGTGAACGCGTGTGGGTCTACTCACTTCTTGACATTCTTGACCTTCATGCTGGCCGTGCTGCTGCTGCACGAGCGCATGAGGGGCTCCGTCCTCAGCTCAGGGATCTCTGCGCTCCTTGCCTAAACACACAAACACACGCTAGCATCAGCCATCCAGCTGGTGCATACAAATAAATCCCAGCCACTCATATATCGTTTTTTCCCCAAGTTTTGCTTCACAGCAATGTTCAAATAGCCAACAGGCTTTTACCTTCAAATAGATTCAAGTAATTTTATTATAAACATCACTATCACTTTGTGAAACCGCTTGTGAACTGGGTGATAACCTGAGTACATGTGATAGTGAAGTGTAGAGTTCAACAGATTTAAATCATCTCCAACCTTATGTGGAAGCTTTATTCAGACGAGCCAGTAAGTCAATTTCATATCAAACCTGTATGATATATAGTCAGGCACAGATGTTAGTGTACAAATGTAGAAGAGGCTAAGTAAAGACAGTAAGGTCAAGTGGTAAACTGATAAAACCATTTGACCATTTGAACCTGTCCACTTATCTTTTGATATTTACCAAATATACATTCAAAAGAGTTGGGAGTCTGATCAAAAATCATCATTGGGTGCCAGTACTGACTTAATTCACTTATCAGATATTGGACTCACATCACTGATCCGAGTACAGATCCAGATCCCATAGTCTGGTGTTTTTATGACAGCTGTCTGGCTTATCTAGAGAGTTTAGACTGCTGTTTATATATATGTGTGTAAGGAACAGCAAGTATAGAGAGGGAGAGGAAGAAAGGAGGTAAAAGACGAATGGATGTACAGAGAGGGAGCAGACTGGTTGCTTTGGGACTGCCGTCATACTTATGGTACTGGTCTGGTTGTTTGAAAGTCTCACAGAGAAATCACGAGGACTAAAGATGGGTATCGGCAGATATCCAAATTCGAGTATTGGAATCAGATCTGAACTGAAGTGGATCTCTAATAAAACCCCCTCTCTTTTCTCTTCCTTTAAAATGGCATCATGTACTTGATGACTCATCTGGACCTCGAATCGCTTCAAATGTGATTTGGAGCAACTAGGTACCTCATCCATCATATTAAACCTGCTCCGACTGTTAGCTCTTCAAGTGTGGGTCGTGCAGCTAGGAAAGCAATATTTTAGTACTGTAGTGCAATAGTGTGCATTTGGATGTCAGTTGGCAAACATTTCTAACCACACATCCAAAGAATGTGGTTCAGGTCCAAGTTATTCAATTCTCTCTCATCCTGCTCATCCTCATTCACTTGAATGAGGCCACTCTGTTGCAGCAGTAGGGGGGTGCCAACACAGAGGGCTCCAGGAAAAAAAAGGCTCAGCCTTTGCTAGAACGCAGCGCAATGTCATCTGGCAAGGTGCTGCAATGACCAATCAAATAAGTGCCAGCGTACATTCCTTGTAGATTATTATGAAGCATGAACCACGGTTGCCACTCTTTGTACCGGGACCTTTCCAGGAGATTTTCCAGGAGCTTTTCTTAATAGTAGAGGACAGCACTTGGTCACAAACGGTGATCAGCCATAGGTCATTGTAGGGACACTTTACTTCAAGATCATTCCACTGAGAGATAAAATGATTGCTAACTTTTGAGACTTGCAAAATCCATCCTCATAATATCATAATCCTCTGTGTAGTATATTGGCGCCTTATAAGCGGATCTCCAACCTGACCTCTTGGATCGTATTTTGTATTCACACGGATACCTGAAGCGACACCCCCCCACCAAACACCCCCTGGCATTTTTTTAAATGCAGGGCTGTTTTTAGTCCGAACGTCAAGTAACAAGGACGGTGAGGGAAGTGTGGGTACAACTCTGAAGAGGACTATTGGCCAATTCAATCTGAAGGATTTAATTTAAATCCATCCATTCATTCCATCCATTTGATGGGAACATTTGTCTTCAAGGATTACCTGTCTGTCTGTTTCGGAGCAATATTCTCTTCTAACTCGGTAAATTAAGGGTTTATTTTGACCAAACCACAGGTGGCGATTGTTAAGAAGACTGGAAAAACTAAAAAAGTTTTTGATTCTGTCCAGTTTGTAGTTTGTTTTATGATTATCTGCTAGGTAAAATTACTGCTTTAGTAAATGGAGTCCGGTTGGCCAACTTGGTAGGTGTTCTAGTGAAACATCTAGTTTCTAATTTCATATAACTTCTAATCAAATAGACTTCACCTAGCTATGTGAACTGCAGAGACCTTTGCTTGAAAACAGCACATTCAGCTTCCGTCTTGTAATATATATATCTGTTTACGGTTAGGATTGGCAAATGCCTTCTCACTGTGTTGCTGGAACACAAATTCTGTTTGTTAGTGGGCGTCATGTCAGGAGTGACCTTGCTCATTTAAATTTTGTCCTACATGAGATCATAAAGCTGTCCCTAATCACATGGAGGAGTCTGAGCATCAAGAATGACGTACGAATTGCTTTAAATTACAGTTTACTAACATTACATTAGCAAGATAAACAATTACCTCTTGCTATTGTTTGTTGAAATGGTTATCACATGCTCAAATAACTAAGTTTATGCTGAGACATGATATACACTGCCCATATGTTACAGCGACAGGCCAAAACATCCACTGCAGTTCGTGAAAACTCAATCTCTCTCCTTGTTGTTAGTATTCCTTACCAAAGCCACTCACCTGCTTCATTTAGCTTAAATGAGAGTGAAAATCAAATGCAGCTGTGGTCAACTAAACAGCTACAGAACCTAGGGAATCTATTATGCTGCAAGCTGATTTCATCAGTGGATATATTCATTTTATTGCAGTAATCTGACAGCAGGTTGTTGGACGACACCCGGGACACAAAATAACCAAAAATGAAGGAAGGAAAAAAGATAAAGAGATACAAAACACATCTACAGGAAAGTAATTGAAAAACTCCATGAAGCAAAAAGGATCTGTGGGAGAACTGCATCAAAGAGCCGCTGGCCAAGTGAGGTGTGAATAAGTTAAAGTCGAGGTGGACTAGAGCTGTGAAAGTTTCCTGTATTCAGCTTGTGACTCTGCAGCCAGACGGTCAGTGACAGTAAAGGTGGTATGAGACGAGGCCGTGGCTTTTAAGACAGCCGAGACAGACTACACCCCCTCTATCTGAGGTGATAACTGAATAACAGGCTGAAAAAAGCAACGAAGGGGCAGCAGTTCATATTAATTGCTCATATATAGCCGATAGACAGAAGAATCAATTCATGGTTTAAGAAATGTTTCAAGCAAAGATGCCAAACTTTCTCACTGGATTGGATATGCTCCCTTCTTCTGTTTATGTTATAATAAACTGAATATCTTTGGGTATTGGACTGTTAGTCAGACAAAACAAGACATTTGAACACACCACCCTGGACTCTGGTAAATTGTGAAAGGCCTTTTTCACTAAATTCTGACATTTTATAGATCGAGCGATTCATCGATTAATCCAAAAATAAAGAAATAGCTGGCAAATGAATCGATGATGAAAATAATTAATAGTTGCAGCCTTGATATCATCTATAAAGCGATGGGTCCACAACTATATGAAATATGGAACTGCCCTAATGCTTTCTGCCAGTAAAATAGTGTGTGTGTTACTGTCTGACTTAGGCTACCTTTGGGGACACATTTTGGACTAAGGACCAGTTAACTGGGGACGGCTGTCCCCAATACGGAAAAATATATTTTTTGGGGTTAGTTGTTAGGGTAAGAGTAAGGGTCTGGCTAGTAGAGGTTAGTAAGTAAGATAAGGTAAGTAAGGTAAGTCTCCAGGAAAGGAATTTAAGTTTGTCTGTGTTTTGTCTGTGTGTGTTACAATTAGGGTTAGGATAAAAGTTAGTGTTAGGCACTTAGTTGTGAAGGTTAAGGTTAGGGTAAAGGGCTATGGAATGCATTCTGACAATGACAGGTCCCCACAAGTATAGTAACAAGGAAAAAAAATCATCCTTATAATCGTGTCTGCGTGTGTGTGTATGCGACAGCCACAGGCACATTCCGAATGCTCTTCTGACTGTGTGACTCTGATGCTGTAAATTAACGTGAAAGCTAAGATGAAAACTCGTTCAAGCCCATTCCTAATCCATGATCTAAACGCTGTATTGTCATTGCAAATCAATAATTATTTACTTTTCATTTCATCAGTATGTTACAGGGATTATGGGAATTCTTTCTGCCTTGCTCTGCAGTCAAAACAGAATAAGATCTATCCTACACAGTGCAACAGGGCGTTGGTGTGACAGCTTACACTAAGTTGCTTCTCATCACCTCCTTGAACCACCGGAGACATTCATAATGTATGCCACAGTACAGAGTCCCTCTCGTATCAAATATTGAACAAAGAAAAGCAGACATGCAGCATTAAAAGCCCCGCCTCTGTGATCAATATTCATTAGCCTGGTGAGATTGTTGTTTCTCTTTCTCTCTGTTGCCCGATCGAAGTGAGCACTTGCGATAGGGCTCCAACCACGCGCCGACCATGGGTGGCTCGGGATGTTACCATGGAGACGGCCTCATTTTCACCATGCTGTTGATGCAAGAAGCGAGACCCGTAGCAAAGATGGGAGGAAAGGAAATAATGAATGATGTTGTCTGGTGAATGGAATCCAGTGTGTAGAGATAAACAGATGACACAGGAGTACACAGATGGCAGGTAGATGGCTATCTATGCAAAGAGTTTGGGGTAGGGTAGCTTTAGGACGCCAGCAGTCACCTGCATTAATCATGAATGTGTGATAGTGTTACAGAGGAGACGGAGTTTCGATAGACAAAGAGAGAGACACAACTCATCAAACCCACTGGGCTGAAAACAGACGCTGATAAGAATGTGACAGGCAGCAAACAGCTGATCAAGGCGTGTGGTGCTATCAATGGATCTGACATGTCAGGAACAATACTGTAACACTGATAGGAGCTTCAGTTGACCCGGGATGAGAGCAGGACATTGATGAATGCACCGGATGTATTCAAAACAGAGACTGTCTATGGAAAAGAGAACATCACAATGACGTGTGTGTGTGTGTCTCACCATGGCACTGATGGTTTCCTCCCAGTCGGGTCTCTCTCTGGGATGGATGTGAGCCAACTCAGGCACAATATCGTCGTCCTCCAGGTGACGTCCAGGCCTCAGGCCCCTACAGCGCGCGCACACACACACACAGACACACACAGTTAGATCTAAATTAATTTCAGTTCCACTCTGATGGAGTGGCTTTAGGGCTGCAACTCTTATTGTTATTACTGGCTTATGTTTACTGGTGATTATTTGGTTGCCTAATCAATTAATCGTTTAGTCTATAAATTGTATCACAATTTCCCGGATACCAAAGCAACGTCTTGTTGTTTTGTACCAAGAGGGACGCTGGAAGTCAGTCAGCCAGAGTTGGGGGTACTGAGACAAAGTCTATATAATGACATCATACCAAATGCTAAATAAATGACATTCAGAGTTTTTGCATACATTTGAATGTCTGGGGTAATTTACAGCATATTATAATAGTTATTAACAACATTTTACACAGATTTTATAACTTTTTAAGTGGATAAAATGGATAAATAAAACACAGTAAAACCTCTTTCCACTATGCCACATTTTAGGGGGTGCTGCAGCCCCCTCAGCACCCCTTCTTCCAGCAACCATGCAACCAACAGTCCAAAACTCAGAGATACTGTTTACTTAATTTATAATGACTTGAATTAATAGATTGTCAAAATATTTGCCGATTACTTTTCTTTTGATTGACTAATCGCTTAATTGTTGCAACTCTACTTAGCTTGATGTCAAAGCAAGTTCAAATGTTTGTGTCGAACACCTGAAACTCAATGTTTGCAGGAACCATGGTAAAGATCTAAATCTGTAAGGGGGAACTAAACATTTTACAAAAATCTAATTTTAGGAAAACTGTCATAGTATAAAGAGCAAACCACCATATGCATAAAAAAAAGTTACAAGTTAAAGAGTTGACTTTTTTTTTATTCAACCAGAACACACTGGACATATTTTCCAAGCAACCGACTTTATAAAAGTTTTCAGCTTTAAGTCAAACTCAAACTGTTCAATCGTTTATTTTATAATTTACTTTTCTTCTTCAGAAAAATGTGAATCTTTAAGTTTTAGAAACAAACTATTTGTATTTTAATATTTTTTCAGAAAACTATTCTGCACCCAAGTCATGACCATTTCTGAAATGCAGATTTTTTTTGAAATTATATCAAAAATCTGATAAGGGTAAATTAGAGCTGGCGTTCATAGAACAAACAACTTGAAGTTGATGCAACGTCTCTCCACAGACTTCTCATCGAGTTCAAAGACTGCCCTTGTTTCCAGAGAGGCTGAGAGACGCGGAGAACGGGGATGGAAATGAAACTGACTTGCACAGCAGCATTTCACAAATTGAGTGTACATATGCCACACACACACACACACACACACACACACACACACACACACACACACACACACACACACACACACACACACACACACACACACACACACACACACACACACACACACACACACAAAGGATGATTTTTATCCATCATCCTGAACGCAGCAGTGTCACTACATCTATATGAGTAATAAACTAGAGCAGACGGCAGAGGAAATAGAACGAGGAAAAATCGTGCGTTTTGGGGAGGATGGAGCAGTGTGTAACAGCTGCGAGATGACAGCGTCTAGCAAACACTGAAACAAAGTCTCTGCATTGAGATAATTGGACTTAAGGGCTGGGGACTCAAGATGAGTCAAGATGTAGGGAAGTAAAGTTTAGTAATAAGCAATTCTCTGTCCTCCCCGTTCTCCCAAACCCTCTTCCACAACTGCTCACTGATCTTACTTCAACGTTCAGTCAAATTATGCCAGTTTTTCTCAGCAAAACTATTTCAAGCCTTAACACTTGGAGATTCAAAAAGTTACAAAGGGGAAGTTTTACTGGCAGCTCTCAAAAGATGAAAAAATAATTAAAAGAATACTGATATTAGTGCTAGCTGCCCCTACTGACAGTTTTAGGTGTCATGTTTAAAGTTGTTCACGTATAAACTGATGAGCAAATTCTTCAGAAACGGAGCAGACACTTCACAGCTTTGGGATCCAACAGTTCAGAAACATAACCTTGATTAGAAATGACTCAACAAGAGGTCAGGGAGAAAATAAGTGAGGGTAATAAAACTTAACCATTGTCGCTTCATAAAGTGGTTGTTTGGCACTGAATGAACGGTTATCTTTAGGGACATTTCTGACATTTTGCAGAGAGCGGAGGACAACAAATGTTTAGTTAGCCAATAAGCCACTGATTAGATGGCAGACTACGGCTAGCTACTTATCAAGATAGCTGATTTGCAAGAGAAGTACAGACTAACTTACAAAATGTAATAAAGCTTCATAGAAAAAGATATGTGACCAAAACTGTAAAAACAACTCACTGTGGTTTGCACAAGGAACATTCTACCAGTGATTTCTTGCTTTCCTAGTAACTACATCTGACAATTGAATTAGAGACACAATGGCACAATGTTACCGTGCATCTATTGTTATGCAGACCTTCAATTTGCCCATTAAAAATAAATAAATAAAAGCACAGCAAATTCTGGGGGAAAAGCTTTTTATGTTTGGCTAAGTTGGAAAAGTTGATGTACTGATAAAACAAAATGGGACAAAGTGCACTAGAATCCGAATTGGCGACAGAGGCAGATGGAAATTTACATTTTCTTTTGCAGATTTTCTGCAAATTTGGTTCTAATTCAGATATTTCAATTGCAATATGATTCACAATTTGTGTGGGCATGATCAGTTTTGCATCACAAATTCAATGTTCACTGAAAAAGCTATTAAGGTCATGATGATGTGATTTTCCTGGAGAACAAGATTTGCATGTCAGGGGATCTCTGCAGCTCTACAGTACTTCATTAAAATGCTGTTTGTCACACATTTTACCTTTTTTAAACAAATTATTAAACCTTTGTAGTTTTGCATTTTTTCTTTTGTAATTTGCAATATTGCGATTTTGGTTATATATCGATCAATTGCGCAGCCCCATCTGAATTAGCACTGCATTTGTATGGTAAATGCACCTGAACTTGTATAGCGCCTTTCAAGTCTTCCGACCACTTAAAGCGCTTTTACACAACGTGCCACATTCACCCTTTCACACACATTCACACACCGATGCACAGCATCAGGAGCAATTTGGGGTTCATTATCTTGCTCAAGGATACATCGACACATGGCTGAGGAGCCGGGATCGAACCAACAACCTTCCGATTAGTGGACAACCCGATTTGCCTCTGAGCAACAGCCGCCCTATGGAAACCTGGCTGGTGTAACAATGTCAGGTTTCCATACAAAGTGTGTAGGAAAACTTGTGCGTGCACAGAGTAGAGATGTTGAAAGGCAAGAGAGAGAATATGTGAGTGAGTGTCCAAGGGTTCGGCAGCGCACAGCATTTGCTCTTATGTGGATAATAGCAAATGCTAAAATTCATACTAAAATGAAACAATTCTTTATGATGATTTCTCAACAAACTATAAGCTATGTGCATGCAATTTTGCGTGCTCTAAATGCCTGATTGTACATGCAACAGAACTGAAGCACAAATATAATCCCATATTGTTAGTTGTTTATCCCAAACCCTAAGAAAGTGGTCGTCTTCAGCAATGTAGATTCTCTGTCATGTGGTGATAAGAAATAACTTGCAAGAAGGCTTCCAGATTTTCTGGGCCACTGACTGACATCCCGCAGCCGCAATGACTCTAATGACATGCTTTAAGCACCACTTACCAGGAAAGGCTTGAGAACTACTGACACAGTGCGAAGCACTTTCAGATGCCAGAGATAAAGGCCAAGCTTCAACGGAGCATTTCACTCTCTGGGTATCACCTTCTCTGGCATTCCCAGCATTCCTTGGTAAGGAGGCATGTAAGGAGAAAGGAACTACGGCACCTGCTCCAAACAATCTCAATAGCACCGCCGCCTGAAAACCCAGCTTTAACCCTGTGTTGAGCAGCACTCTCACCCGCTTTCCACCCACCTTCGACCCCTCTAGGTGAGGAGAAACTGACGGAGGAGGAAGATGGAAGACTTCCCTAAGCTCCTAGCCTGCTGAGTCAAATTTATTTCCGTGTTTCACTCTCTCTTGTAAGAAAGAGATCCTTCCATTTAAAATAAATGTTTAAAACTCAACTGTTTTCCAAGCATTTCTAACACCCTCTAAATTTTGGTACATAAAAGCAACAGAAGTTCCCTTTAGCTCAGAAAATGAAAGCCATGAATCTCTCTCTGCATTCATCCTTAGCCACCACTCTCTCATGTCTCTGCTATTAGGCTGCCTTGCCGATGAATGCCTGACTCAACACATGCCCAGCCTCAAACAGAAATCATGTGGGTTTTATGCACTAATATTTCAACACAGTTGCCGCAGCCAGTTAAGTGCAGGACTTTTCCCTCACATGCACCGACAGGTCTGAGGGGTACACTAGACGGCTGCCATAGGAAGTACTGCTGTCACAGAAAGCCTGGTTGCAAAATGCCTTGCAGCAGACTTAACTAGCAGCAACTTGATCGCTCTCAAAGGGGAAATGCTTAGGCACAGGACTTTAAAACATGAGCATTTGCAAAGGTAAGGCCAGACTATATGGAGTGGTTCATCACAACAGAACCAAATGGAGCAGAACTGTTTTTACACTACTAAAATTGCTTCTTGCAGTATATCTAATAATTATCTAGCAAGTCCTTTTAATATGAACTTGTAGTAGTAGTTAACTGTGTAGTAAACATGTATTACGACATATATAGTCTGCTTGGAGTGTCTGATATGTTTCAAGAAAAAGTATAATCTTCACATTAAATGTGTTAATTTCTAAAGTCTTCCTGTTGGACACAAGATGTCTCCTACTTCAGTGTAAAGTCCATTCTCAGTGGATGTGCACTGGTGGATCACACTTGTTAAAGTTGCATACTGGACCATGTTCTTGCAGTGAAGTGAGTCAGATGTTCAGAGTGATACCATTCTCATTACACTAAATATAAAGCTTTAGCCAGCAGCTGGTTAGTTTAGCTTAGCATTAAAACTGGAAAGAGCAAGAAGCAGCTTGCAAGGCTCTGTTGAAAGCTAAGACAAAAAGGAAAAAGCCAAGC